CCCCAAAACCCCAAAACCCCAAAACCCCGTGAAGCGATATTGCTTTGAATTTATAGTAGTTATGATAAGATTAGAAGATTTAGATTAAAAGCAAAAATTATTAAATAAGTTAATAAAGTTGAGGACCTAAATTAAATATGTAGTGATAGTTATATTAGAAGCATTATATTGATAGTCTTAGTACATCAGATCTTTTCAATCTTGAAAATCTCTTCATAATTTTATTCCAAACAGTAGTCTTTCTTCTAGTCATTAATTTTAAAGTTACATTTGCTTATCTCAAAGATTTTTACTTCATTGTATTCGAAATAAATTCCTTTTTCGTGGTACTTTTTGAGAGCCATTCTTCGCTCCCAATTCCATTTATAAACTTATGAAAATTTCAAACCTAGAATCTTTGCAATGTGTTCCATCTTTGTGTTATTCCAACGTTAGCTTTTGCTAAATTAATCTTCTAGATACTAAAGTTGCTCAGGAGTCTTGAGTTTAACGATATGCTTTTTAGATTTAAAGCTAAAATCCTCTGTTTGATACTAGTTTGACGTTAACTCAAGGACAGACGATATATTTTTCGTATTTGTCATCATGTTGTCTGGAAAATTGAAATCTTCGGTATCTTCATCTGGCTGTTCCTGTTTTACTGCAATTAACTCGGGAAAAATGTTTGCTACTAAACTGTGGTGAGTTGTTTTCAATGAGGCTTGTTCTTAGCATTTAGAATTGCAAGCTGAATTATCAATAGAATCTTTATATGTATTTTTCGAATAATATAAGTCATCTTTCAGATCAAGACTCTCTTTCGGCTATGAAGGTTCTTTGTCGTAAGTTTCTTAAAGAATTGTAGTATTTTCACTCAAACTCATGTAATAGTGGTAAAATTAGTTGAATTCAAGCTAATCCAGGTGAGTTAGAGAATTTTCATAGCCTGAGGGTGCCTGTTCTGAATTGTTATATTTTTCGTAATCCGTGGTATAATTAAGCATATTAATCTAAAATTATAAATATAGGACTTTTAATTGATATATATCAAATTGGTGGCCAGAACTTTGATGACTTGAATAGAATAGCAGAAAGTGCCAAGCCCGTATTAGAGCGAAGAATCAGCAGTAATCAAGTTCTTGATATGGTAAGAACAGAATGGAAGGTATCAAAAGTATGGATTCCTCAGGAATTCTGAGTCATACAAACTGATTACCGGATTGAAAACAGTCAGACAAGATAAGTAAAAGTAGGGAAAACAAAATTCTAGATAATGGGTAGTGAATGATAGTTAAATTCTTAAGTTATTTAAGATCTCGACATATTTTTATTGTTCACATATCCACTTTCTAATTTCCATAATATTTAATTAAATTCTTTATTGTTAAGACATCAATTTCGTATAAAACTCAAATTTTAGGTTAATGGGGTTTTGGGGTTTTGGGGTTTTGGGG